AATAGATCAATGTCTGTACGCAATTCTCAATTACATTTATTTCGTATATTATATACTTAAATGCCTTGGGATCATATATTCACACTTAAAGTTCAACTCGCTCTTGCCTCTTTTACTAATATAAGCATGAGAGTTTATAAAGAAGTTTAAATTGAGATCATACTTAACTTAGTTGATGATACATTGAGCTGATCTGTACTAACTGCAATCTCAAATCATGTCTCCTCGCCTCTCACCCTCTTCACACAAAATGAACAAAATATTTAGAAATGAAAAAAACTTTGTACATATATACATATATCTGTTATTCAATTGTGTTGCTCTTGGCATGCTAATGCGGCTTGTGTGTCTAATTGCGTGAATTGTATTTACCAGCAAGAGCAGCAGTGGCAGCAGTGGCACGTCAGCAGAAATTGATGAACTTGCGTCAGTTGGCCTGTCAGTCGGAGTTCTTTGACGCGATGCCAACTCTTTTATATACAGGGGTTGTTTGGGGTGCGCCGGTGCGCAGCTCTCGTTTTAATTAAATTTTCTGCGCCTGCGCGCAATTTTGTACTCATTTAGCGAGTTTTGCCAACTTATCAATGCTGTCCGCACACGCCCCGCTTTATTAAGGTCCTTTAACCAGTTTTGACTAGTTGCGGTTTGTGCTCAGGTTCTCAGTGGCTGGTCAACCGGACTGCGCCCACTTTGTTGGTGCGGTGCCCATCCTCCTTTTGTTACAGCTGCTCGGAAATTGAAATTTGAGACGCCTCAACTGGAGCATTAATCATTTTTTGTCCAATCAAATCTCGAAATCAATAATTAATCAACGCGAATGCGTTGAATCGAGAAATCATTTGCCAACTCGGAGACACAGACAGAAACAGAATGAAATGAAATTTACATGCCAATCCCCTACGATCCGAAATTATTTGAGCTATGCAAATCAGATCCTGTGCACAGTGTAAAGTTACTCCAAAAAAGGATAATATTAATACACAGCCAGACAACATAATCAAAGTAAACTGAACGGCATCGCATTTGCATACATTAATGTCAGAGCGGCTTCTGTGCGAATGTACATATCTCACTCACTCTCTCTCTCTTCCTCCCTCTCTCTGTCTACCTATCCGCCTATAGAGCGGCCTACCTTTGCATATGCCCTTGCAGGGAGCATTAATATTTTGAGCACTGAATGCGCCACGCATTCAAAGAGCCTCTTTACGATCTCAAAGACAATATTTGTTGAGTTTTATTGATGTGTTCGGGCAATATATTACTTTTAGCGTAGAAGAACTATACAGAACGGAGTACCATAATATAGTGAATATAATAATATATTTTAGTGTAATATAATAGGTAATATTAAATATG